ATGTAAGAAAAACAATAGATGATTTTAAAAAAGTCCTGAAAAATTTTGAATCCAGAGTTGAATTCACAGAAGACTTGCAGAAGATGAGTGATGTGGGTATTTGTTTTTATTCTCTTACATTTTCTAGAAGATATTTTCAAATTTGGTGTAGTTAGAGCAAGTTACTCGTGTTTTGGTGCTTCTAGACATGTTTCTAAGGCTGACTGCTTTGATGGTAATATGTTAGCGGTTTCTGTTATTAATATGCTCATTTTCCTTGTTTAAAAATTAGGCTGCAGGTGATATTGTTGACATAAGAGAAGAAATTAAAAGTGACTTTGAATTTAAAGGTAAGCAAGGAGATTGTTAAATATTAAATTTAGATATTTACCATTCGTATGTATTCTTAAATGATCTTTGGAAACATTTGGCATTATTATATATATAATATACCTTTTACATTTGTGAAATACATCAGTCCACAAATATTAATTTTCTCATACATTTAATGGACAAATGAATTTTGATTAAAAGCTTGCTTTCTGACTAATGTATTTAAGTGGTAGGTTGCATGACTGTTTTCCTACCCCCAGAGCTCTCTAATGATCCTAAACATCTAAGACCCAAGAGACCCATACCCAGACATGAGTCTGCTCCTCATTTGATCTTTGACCTTGGCCCAGTTAGGCTGGTTTTCCTCTTTAAGCTTTAAACAGTGTTTTTGAAGAGTGACTATCAGCGTGTTTTAGCCTGTACTTCTCAGTACCTACAGTGGTGTTGCACAGGCCATGTATGTGAGCATCCAATAAAACATCTTTGCCAAGGATGGGCTGCAAGTTTGGGATTGTCCTGTGAAGACAGTGGCTCCTTCACCAGTTGTTCTATATTAAGGTTCTGAATACTTTAAGATGTAATTTGCAGCTCTAGAACACTTCTAACATTTATTCTTCACATTCACACTGCTTGAGAGATACTGACAGAAACCACATTCCAGCCACAGTGCTTCATAAGGTGAAGAAGAGGAAGCAGATAGCAGAGCACAGAAAGACAAGGATTTTGTTTAGAGTGACCAGTGAAGAATTATATGTACTAAAAGTCTGCAACGTGATCATTGACATTATTGTAGAATAAGTACTGCCTTCAGAATGAGGCAATCACACATTTCAGTGTTTGTAAGTTAGAAAACGTCAGGTCACTCACACAGGTGTTTTAATTCCTGTGCTTGGGAGACAGAGGCAGGAGGGTCTTGTGAGTTTGAGGCCAGCCTGGTCTGCATAGTGAGTTCCAGGACAGCCTGGACTACACAAATAGATCCTGTCTTCAGAAAAAACAAACAAACAAAACAAAATAAAAAAGGAAACTTCAAGTTTAATGTGTCACATTTTACATAAAAGTTTACTTGTTATTTGAGATGGGAATTTGAAGGTAGGATAGTGTTGAGGTCATCTGAACAATTTTTCATAACATATAGTACTTTAGATTTCACATTACCGCCTTCAAAACTTTAATTTGCTTTATTAAGAAAAATCTATTTTTAAATGAAAAGCAGATAGTTTTGTGTTCATATTTGATCTATCTCCTGCCCCCACATGACAGTTGCAAATAAAATAAAGCAATTTAAAAGACAGCATTGTTCATATATAAAATTATAATAGAACTTTCTGGAGATTAGCTTCTATCATTTCCTTCTGGGGTAGGCATTCTTGGCAGTGCCTTAGGGTTTGAAGTATCCAATGGCAGGGTGTTTCATATCACTCTTACAAATGGAGTCTCTTGAGTTAGGATGGTAAGTGGATATTTCTTGGGTGGAATTTTGCATTGTAACCAGGGTGCATCTTGATTTTGTGCTTGTGTGGTGTTGAAGTCCCAGAGTAGCTCCTTATACTCCCTAAGGTGTGTGTATTTCTCTGAACAGACTGATTGACTAGGTTCAGGAGACTGGGATGCACTTGTGAAGTGCCCCCTCTTTCTCAACACTCCTCTCCCGTAAGGAAGGTTTTGCTAGTTCTAGACTTTGAATTTCTCATATAGACTACTAACAGTTGTGTCTTTTCCCTTTTTAAAATAGGAAAACAACGAATTGCTCATAAACCTCATTCCAAACCAAAAACTTCAAATATTTTTGAAGCAGAGTTTGAAAACGAGGTAAAATCCAAGGATTTGCTTGCTGATGAGGAACTATGGGCTCGACTTGAAGAGCTAGAGAGACAAGAAGAATTGCTGGGTGAACTTGATAGGTGCTTAATGGCATATATTTTTCCAAGAGAATATGTATCTTTCTTCATTTCTAAGATAGTGTGTGCTCATTGAAGGGAGTGCAGAAACCTGTGGACTTGTCAGCAGTCATGCCCTCAGATGAATAGTATTCTTGCAGAACATTTCTTTTTAGGAAACTATATTGCTGTTCTTATGCACACCTATACTGAAAACCTCAGTGTTGCTCATATCTCACCATATGATATATAATAAAGTAATTATACTTGATAGTCAGTAATTGCATTAAATACTAACAAAAAATTTAAAGGTGACCAGACTTTATTTTTTGAGGTGCTGGGTATTGAACTAATGCCTCTATCCTGAAAGACAAGCATTCTATACTACCACAGCCCCCACTTCTAAATAACAAATTTTAAATCATGTAATTTTATACTGTTCTAAGATAACACTCTGTTCTTGGGTGACTTGTTAAAAAGAAAATTTGGCTTTGAATTTAAATTTGATACTGTAAAATATTTGTCCTTGCCTTTTGTTACAAACTCTCTGTTTATTGAGCAGACAGTTTATAATCTGGTCAGGTAGTTCTGTGTATGAGAAACTTCACCAAACTGCTATTTGAAATATACATTAGCACTCACTTAAAATTGTCAGAGCACTATATTATGAAGTTTCTACTACAGAAGTTCCTATATTATTTTGCTTAAATGATGTACCATATGCAGCAATTAGTTTTTGTGAAAAATAGGACACAAAAAATTTCCCCTACTATTCCACCTATGAATTGTTAGGTCCTTTAAGATCACTGGTACTAACTCATTTTTAAAAACTAGTGCTGGATTTAGGAGTATTAGTCATGATTCTCTCTTTTTTGCATGATGTCATTTTATTTTTGTTGCATTTTTAGTTTGGTTATTTTTGTAAGGTCTTCAGATCCTTCATGGAATAAAACGTGATAAATGTGCATTTGTGTAACTATATGTTCATGTGCACATGTAAGAATCCTTTATCTTGAAAAATTCCAGTACATGCTGTTACAAAAATTTCTGAGGCCCAAAATAAGAAATAATAGTATTTTATAGTTTGGGGGTTTGGGGCATTAATTTCTGGTCTTACAAATAGAACACTTATTTTTTAAAACTTTTATTTAAAGAGAGACTTTATTGTAGATTTATAGTGGAAACTAGAAAGAGAGACGGGGTGTGTGTGCATTGGGGAGGGGGAGAACACTGAGCAAACTCCTGTGCAGCAGGAGTGGTCTCAGGAAACAGGATAGGTACTCTCTTAATTTTTTTCCTCCCTCCCTTCCTTCTTCCCTCTCTCCCCCCTCTCTCCTTCCCTTTCTTCCTCATTCTTTCCTTCCTTTCTTTTCCTTCTTTCTGTTCCCTCCCCTCCCTCCCTCTTTGTCTCCCTCTTTCTCTCCCCCTTTCTCTCTTTCTTTTTTTTTTTTTTTTTGAGACGGTATCTAGTACTGGGATTATAGGTGTGCACTACTATAACCACCATCTTTCTTAATTACATTATATTCATACTATATCTGGCCAATGTCCAATGATAAAAATATACATGTTCTATGAGTTCTTATATTTGAGTAGCAACAGGATGTTGAGGTGTGTAAGAACCTTGCTTTTATTAATCCTCTGTATTCATTTGATCTCATTAATATTCTTATTTCTTCACGTAGTAAGCCTGATACTGGGATTGCAAATGGAGAAGACACAGTGTCTTCTGAGGAGGAAAAGGAAGATGAAGGCACAGGTTTGAATGTGGTGCCTCCAGCGACAGACTCCCTTGCCCCTGGCAGCTGTGGCATGCTTGCTCGAAATGCAAGTAGTCATTTGAACTGTTCAGTGAATGGTTCAAATTCTTACCATAGCAATGAAGAGGATGAAGATGATGATGCTGCTGATGATGTTGATGATGACGACGATGATAATTATAATGGAAATGAAAGTGACCACACTATTTCAGCAGATAATTCTGTACCAACAATATACTTCTCTCATACTGTTGAACCTAAAAGGGTGTGTATACTTCTAACTTTGTTGTCATTAAACATCATCTATGCTGTATTTTAAAGAGAAGATGTTAACAATATTTAAGATTCTTAGTATTGGCAAACGGGAAAAGTATCTTTTCCCCTTACCTGGCCAGTGAACTTTAGTGGAAAAGGGAAAGAGTAGTTAGCTGATGGTGGTCTCACTAACTAAACCTGAATGCAGTGACTGTGGATCACCTGTCCTTGTCCCAGGGCTCGCTTAAGATTAAACTAAAGATTGAATTTTTAAATTTGGGAATTTGGTTTGCTTTTGGATCTGGAAATGGCTATAAGACTAGTATTTATTAAAAACACACACACACTCCAGGTTGTTGTTTTATGTGGGCATCAAGTGAGTACTGGTATCCTGAGCAACAAGGAAAAATTTGGGGGAGAAAAATGAAAAACGGGTCTTTTTTTGACAAATTAAATATAGATGTGTAATGATGGGTTTAGAATTTCAGCATTTTGGAACTGAGATTGACTAGAGATCTTGTGATCCATTATGTCAAACTTTGCTTTAGTACTGAAGCCTTTGTTTTTCCATACCTAACTGTAGAAGCCCAATATTTAAAATAGTTGAAAGTGGACTAGCTGTGAATGAAGGGTGGGCTACCATCAATCTATCCCCACCACCTTCCCTCTGCTCTGTGTACTGTGCTTAGGGGCCTGGGATGTGTGTTGTAGAGTATGAAGGCCTGTAAGGCAGAGTTGATCAGCTGTGAGTCACCTCTCCACTGGTCAGTATGGCAGTCTGCAGTATCTGATTATTATGTAAGGAGACATCTTATTGCTTACGTGATATTTCTTAAGCTTTAGTTATCCCTGCCCTATTAGAAAGTGAAATAATTATGTGTATTTTATCTTAATTCATAGCTAAAGGGTCTTTGGAATGTTTTGATTGAAACTGAAGCATTGTTGATCCTCCTCTCCCCGTGCTTTCAGTTTTTCTTAATTCATTAGATAAAGCCAAACACACACTCTTAGAAGGACTGTTACAGAAAGGGTGATATAAATGCCAGACCAGCACAGAAGAGTAGCTTATGGTCTTGAGCACATTTAGCTTTTTTTTAGTCTGATTTGTTTTCTGAAGTTAGCGGTATTTAAGCAGTTCAGACAGTTAAGCGTTATCTGCTGTTGTACTTGTGACTCAGGCTAGCAGCACAAGGATTAAGCCACAAATGCATTTGTAAGGTGAAGGCAAGAGAGGCGAAGCTTATAATCAGTATGGAATTTAGTTTAAATGTATTTTGCTTTTCATACAGTGAAAGACACTGGTGATAGAATAGGCTGCTGAAGGAGATGCAGTGTTGTGGAAATGTGGCACAAGAGTCAGACTTGGTCACATACGTAATTTCAGTGCCAAAAAATGTTAGCTGTGTCTCTTGCTGATAACTATATGGTTTATTTGCTTTTTTTTCTGAAAGTTTTGGATTTTATTTTTCTTCGTGAACCAATTTTAGGTTCGAATAAACACTGGGAAAAATACCACCTTAAAATTCAGTGAAAAGAAGGAGGAAGCCAAACGGAAACGAAAGAGCAGTGCTGGCAGCCATGCTACTCATGAGCTGCCTGCCATCAGGAGCCCCGCTGATATTTACAGGTGAGGGATGGCCCTGGGTGCTTTCTTCCTTGTAGTCCTCTTCATGTGTCACTGGAGAGCTGGAGGCTGGTGTTCCTTGTAGAACTTACCTGCCACAACTGTCATGAGCTTGTCCTGTATTTCACCTGTCAGCGGGGAGCAGCTTGAAATCACCTACCATTTTATGACCCATATTTGCAAGCTGGTGAAAGTTCCTAATGTTTTGAAGTAGATGTATATAAAATTTTTGGCAAATCAAGCTGTTTTCACCTGGAACATATTTATAAGTAACATAACTATTTTATTTGGGCCCAAATTCATCTTTGAAAGTAAATAAGGTACATTTGGTGAAGTGGCAAACTTACTTCTTGACATTTTAGAAGAGACATTTTAGCGAGAAAACTCAATTGGGCTTGGTTAGACATGTGACTCCAGCACTTGGGAAGAGGAGGCTCAGCTATGTGAGACACTATCTCAAATAAATAACCTCAAAAAACAAATCTTAGATTAATTTATAGAAAATCAGGAAATCTTTGTGCAGTTCTTCTCAGTTATGAGCCCTTACAGTGAGATGAGTTTCTGGACTGCTGTAGGGTCTTCGTGGACGTTGTGAATGGAGTATATGTCCCGCGGAAGTCGATCCTGAAGTCACGCAGCAGAGAGAACAGTGTCTGCAGCGACACGAGTGAGAGCAGCGCTGACGTGGACGACCGGAGGGCTGTTCTGAGGAGCCTCGGCCGGGAGGAGGCCCCGGGCACTGACGTGGACGACCGGAGGGCTGTTCTGAGGAGCCTCGGCCGGGAGGAGGCCCCGGGCACTGATGTGGACGACCGGAGGGCTGTTCTGAGGAGCCTCGGCCGGGAGGAGGCCCCTGGCACTGACGTGGACGACCAGAGGGCTGTTCTGAGGAGCCTCAGCCGGGAGGAGGCCCCGGGCACTGACGCCAGTGCCAGCATTTCAGAAGAACCCCAAGAAAACCGCCCCAAGAAGCTTTTGCCTTCAGGAGTGTCTGAGGTCTGTGTCTTAGTTCTGTGTTTATAGCCTACAGGCCTAGTCTTTGTGGTTTATTCTAAAAATTCAAAGAGGATCCCATTAATCCCCAGTTTGCGCTTTTTCAGACACATTTTTAAGATAATCTGGAGGCTTCATGCTCATCATGATGACATGGAGTGTTTAGAAGTTAGTGTTCTGACCTTGCCAGCTCAGCCTCAGATGCTGTGAGGCAGGTGCTTTCTGTATGGTGGGATGAGCTGGAGAACAGTGGGGTGGAGCGAAGCAAAGCAACAGAAAGTCTTAAAGAGACAGTACAGGAGAACTAGCCAGTGGAGGGCTCTGTAGTTCAAGGTGCCTGCTGGAAAACCTGAGTTTGATCTCAGGAACCCACATATGGAAGGAAATAATCAGCTCTTACAAGTTGTCCTCTGACCCGGACAGGTACATCGTGGAACATCACAGTTTCACCAAAAAAAGAAAAAAGAAAAAGAAGAAGTTAGGTGTAGGAAGAAGTGAACTACTTGAGCCAAAGTGCCAAAGAGCTGACAGTGGTTTCTAAACTCAGTGATATGCTCTCTTAATTTTCAATACTTGGTAGACAAAACTTTCAGTTTATGCTTAAATTCTTAGCAAGGGAGAGGTTCCAAATATGAGACAGTTTTAAAAAGTGACTCCTGGGTCTTCATTTTTCTTGATATAAAAAGACACATAAGACATCCTGGTGATTTGTGTGTCACTCAGTCTCATTCCAGTTGAACATAGTGGATTTTGATGAGATGATGTTCCACAAATACTCAGCCACAGTGAAAGAGTGTGTGTTTGTGTTTTGGTGACATGTCTGATTTGTGTCATTGGATTGATTATTCTAGAATTTTGAAAGGTGTTCTGAATCACTTTTGTTTTTTTAGTTTTTTTTTTTTTTTAGTTTTTTTTTTAGTTTTTACCCATCTCCTTCAAAAAGTGTAGGCAAAGTGTAATAAAGACAGAACTTAAAAACTTACATGAATGAGCCCACAAGTGAAATATCAGCATTGATGAAATGAAGCTTTTGACTGTCAGGCAGCAGAAGCAAGGTAGCCTGGCCAGAAGCCTCGTTTACACCATTGTAGCTTCTGTGTTTACTAGATGTTTGACAGTGGAGAAAATGAAGTGTTTTGGGGGGACTTTATTTGTCATTTGTGTTTTCCAAGACAGAAGAGTGCTCTCCTTCCCCCTCCCCCCCTTTTTTTTGAGGCAGGGTCTCTCTGTGTAGCGCTGGCTGTCTTGGAACTCTGTAGAGCAGACTGATTTCGAACTTAAAGAAATCCGCCTGCCTTTGCCTCCTGAGTGAGGGGATTAAAGACATGAGCTACCACACACAGCTTACATTTGGTTTCCTTATATTTTCACTATTAAAAAAAAAAATCTGTGTTCTTGATAGTGTAATTAAGGAAAATAATGTTAAGCTGAGTGGTGGTGGCACATGCCTTTAATCCCAGGCAGGTGGATCTCCTAGTTTGAGGACAGCCAAGGCTACACAGAGAGACCCTGTCTCAAAAAACAAAAATAGAAAAGAAAAATAATATTGTTTCTCTGAGCAATCAATATTTTGATGTTTATTACCCAAAATTATTGTTACTTTAGTTTTAGTTTATAAAAAAAGTCTTGGTAATAGAGCGTAAAGATTTTTGTGTGCATTTTATTTATATTTAACAGTATACATTTTTGTCTTACAGGCTTTTTCTGGAATTGTAATAGAAAAGGAATTTTCATCGCCCTCCTTAACACCACACTCAGCCATTGCTCATCATGCCCTACCCACTATTCCAGAGCGAAAAGAAGTTCTGTCAGAAGCATTGGAAGAGCCTGCAAAGAGAGTTTCCAAGTTCAAAGCTGCCAGATTGCAGCAGAGAAACTAGAGAGGGCATGGGCTTCATCTTCTGCAGCTCAAGCTTCACTTTAGGACATGGAGCAGATTAGCCCCTGGAGTGGAAAGACGTCCTACTACTTCATTTGGCAACAGTTCTCTTACCTTTATCAGTGACATTTAAAAAGTTAAAGTAAATGTTTGAATACTGTAAAATTCTGCTGCCTTTTTAATTCTCTGAACACTGTCTAATTGGCCTTAGGATGCAATAGTAGCGTTTCGATTTACTTCTCAAAGAATACTGTCATGCATTGTTTTTGTGTTTTCAACTAAACGCAGGCAGTTTTGTACCAGCTGTGATGTTGTGCTTGCCATATGGGCTGTGTTAAAGAAACTTTTAAATTTTCAAATAGATTCAACAATTATATTACTTGCTTTCACATGTTAAAGGCACTTTAAAAAATAAATCTACATCTCTTGTAGGTTTCACAGCTAGGTGGTTCTTTGAATGTCATACTGTAATGTTTAAGGCAAGAAGCTACACAAACCCTATGGAAAATTTTGACTAGAAGAATAATATTTTGTACAACTTTTTTTTTTTTTTGGCAAGTAAAATTTTTATGAAACTTGGTTTCTAAAATGTTGTGAACTTCCTGGTTTAGAATTGTGTGTAAAACTGTCTTTGATTTGTGTATATGCTATACAGCCACACCACAGATTTCTTGAATTCTTAAAATCCCTCAAGTACCTCCTTTTCCCTGTGCGTACAGTCTTTACTGGGATTATCTTTTGGGAGAGAAAAGTTTGTCTAGATGCTTTAAAAAGAATAGTTTTAAAATAAAGATTTTTCTTTGATGTTTTCAATCTTCCTCATAATTTCATTCTTCAAGGCTGCTTTGCTACCAGTAAAAAAAATAAAATATTGTATTTACTTGTAGCCAAACGCCTTAAAGAGACATTCAGTCTCAGGTTGACCATTACAGTGCAAGCGTTGATCATTAGCTTGATGCATGGTAAAATGTAGCTTTTAAAAAGCATTCTGCATTAGTACTAAAATAAGCCATCAACCCCAGTCCACCCCTCTATTCATGGCTAAATATTTAAAGGTTATTTATAGCTTCTTTAATGAATTCTTGCTTAAACAAAGTGAAATTATGTCCCAGAAAAGTCGGAGCTGTAACTAGAGCAGTGTCACTGTCAAAGTTCTATGAAATATGTATTTTAATGATAAAGGGTGAGCTTGCATCCATTAATGGGTAATTTAGAACAGGGAACTAAGTTTGAAAGACTTCCTAAAAATACGTTTTTCTAGCCAATGTTGATCATCTGTACACATATTTTGTACTTAAAAATGGCTTTTCCTTCCTGACTAGCCAACTCCCAAGCCAAACCTCACATCGCACCCACCCCCAGGAGCACGGTTTCTCCTCCTTAGCTGCCACCTAAGCAAGGCTTTCTGTGCTAACCTCCAGATGCAAGCCTCCTTGGAGGACTGTTGTGTCTTTCGACATGTAACTTCAAGTGTTCTGTCATTAAATAACGTTCCATGTTCATGAACTTATTTTGAGCCTGCTTTTATGTATTTGTGTTCCTTCTTTTAAATAGGTTCCCCCTATCTAAAATCCTGCCATGATGGTAGAAGCAAAGAAAAAGTGTCCAACATTGTGTCGTTGTTTTCTGCAGAAGACCCAAATGAAACTGTATCAGTTTCATCAAGTCAGTCTTAAAAAGTTTTAAACTGTAACTTGAAACTATACTTTCATTTGGTTTTTTGAGGGGTTTTTTTGTTTTTGTTTTTGTTTTTTTTTCAAAACAGGGTTTCTTTGTAGCTTTGGAGCCTGCCCTGGAACTAGCTCTTGTAGACCAGGCTGGCCTGGAACTCACAGAGATCTGCTTACCTCTGCCTCCCGAGTTCTGAGATTAAAGGTGTGAGCCACCACTGCCCGGCTATACTTTCATTTGTATGGCCTTGCTTTTGGGGGGCAGAATCTCACTGTGTCCTCCAGGTTGGGCTTGAACTTGATATCCTGGTTCAGGGGCTGGGACCATAGGCTTGTATCAGGCTAAGTTCTCTCAGACCTTGGGTACTTTTGCTCTTACACACCTAAACATTACAGGCTTATCTTCTGCTTTTTATTCTGTCCCAGCCCTGGAATGAGCTAGAGATCAACAGCTGCTTACCTGTGTTTGCCGCCGAGGCATCAGTGCTTAGCCTATCCAGCTGGCAGAGCTATGCGTGTGTGTACACTAACGGATAACACACTAATATCTGAGTATGTTAAAACTATAGCTTTACACTGAGACTCAATTCTAATCTGAGACCATACGAGTCATTTGATCATTCATATTTGTGACATCTTTCCCACCATCAACTAGCCTGGCTCTTATATACACTTGTCTGTGAAGCACACTAGGCAGTTTGAGTAGTGATTGTCCGTACTCCTGGGAGAGACACACTGTGTGCCATGTGTGCAGTTTCTTAGAGCAGGAGTCAGGAAACCAGTGTCCAAAGTTCCTTTGATTGGCTCTGTGTGTTCCCTTCCTGCTTTGGTCCCCTTCACTAGGATTGTGTTAACTCTTGGGTTGATTTATTCTTTGTATTTTGCTGTGGCTTCACTCCACATCCTGGCTGGATTAACGATTTATCTGGGAGACATGTAAAAAGTCTGTGAAAGTTACTGTGATTCTGAGTCAGAGCTGAGTGAGGTATATCAGAGAAGTGTCACTCCCCTACCCTCCTCACTGCCTCTTCCTCTTATACTGCCGTGAGTCTGTGAGGAACGAGTCTCATTGAAACTCATCTTCCAAATGTAAGCGACCTGTGCTTTCAGTTTCCAGTTCAACCTTCATTTCTTCTGCACAAATAGCAGGCACATGTTTGTGTGTGTGTGTGTGTGTGTTTATATGTGTCAGGTTTCTCAGTGTTTGGCAAATAAGTCATGGACAGGGACAAACTGAAATGGCTTGTTTGGTGTTACACAAGATAGAATAAAACGATATAAACTTTTTTTAAATTCTTTTTTTGTATACGCAGGTGTTTAATATGCTCATTATTGTACTTACGCGAAAGGATGGCATTCCCCAATGCACATTTTTCTAGTGAGTAGTATGCCCATGTAATCTCTGTATCAGTGCTAGAGACTTCCTTATTTTGCACATAGATGCAGCGCTCCAGTTGTGGGCAGTGCACTGTCTCTTCAACCTCTTTTCCTTTCTAAGGCAGTGAGGGGTTTCCTGCATTTGCAGTATGTTTAATAGTACAGTGGTTAATGCATCTGACTATGTTTTGTGTCAATGGAGGTGTGTCTTTAGGGGAGATTCTGGAAGTACACTTGATGGGCCATCTACGCAATTGCTCTTTTATTTCTTTAATAAGACACAGTAAAATCTGTTTTTGAATGGATTTGCATTGTTCGTTCTTTTGTTAAGGACATGTCTTAGATCTACATATATCTGCCTTTCATTGATAATTCTTTTTTTGCATGTGTGTGCCTGCATGTGCATATATATGTGTCTATACATATTTATCCTGAGTGTTCCATACCCACTTGACATTTTCATGGATGCTGGGGTCAAACTCTGGTCCTCATGCTTGCAAGGTTAATCACTTTACTGAGTTACCACCCAAAATTTTTCAGTATTGATTTGGAACGGTATAGGATCTTACGGGGAATTCAAAATTTAACAAGTACCAAATTTTCCACATTTAAAAAAATGCAGATTCTTTCGGCAGGAAAGATGGCTCAGTGGTTAAGAGTACTGGCTGCTCTTCCAAAGGACCTGTTCAGTTCCTAGCACCCACATACATGGCAGCTCACAACTGCCTATAACTCCAGTTCCAGGATCCGACATCCTTATGAGCATATATGCAGGCAAACCACTGATGCTCATTAAACAAAACAAAAAATCAATTTCTTTCCAATTGATAATATGTGTAACTTACAGTTTCTGCCTATTGGGATATTTTAAAATGCAGCTACTGAGTACAGGCATACAGCCCCACATACGCTGCTGCTGAGAACAAGCATGCAACACTGTATTTGCTGAGTACAAGCATACAGCCCTGCATATGCTGCTGCTGAGTCAGGTATGCAGGAGCACTGCATCTGCTGCTACTGAGTACAGGCATACAGCACTGCATCTGCTGCTGTTTGAGTGCAGATATGCAGCATTGCACCTGCTGCTGTTGTGAGTATAGGTATCTAGCACTGCAGCTGCTACTGAGTAATGCATGTAGCACTGCACCTGCTGCTGTTGTGAGTACAGGCATGTAGCACTGCACCCGCTGCTGTTGTGAGTACAGGTGTGCAGTACTGCATCTGCTGCTGTTGTGAGTACAGGCATGTAGCACTGCACCCGCTGCTGTTGTGAGTACAGGCATGTAGCACTGCACCCGCTGCTGTTGTGAGTACAGGTGTGCAGTACTGCAGCTGCTGCTGTTGTGAGTACAGGTGTGCAGTACTGCAGCTGCTGCTGTTGTGAGTACAGGTGTGCAGTACTGCAGCTGCTGCTGTTGTGAGTACAGGTGTGTAGCACTGCACCCGCTGCTGTTGTGAGTACAGGTGTGCAGTACTGCAGCTGCTGCTGTTGTGAGTACAGGTGTGCAGCACTGGACCTGCTGCTGTTGTGAGTACAGGTGTGCAGCACTGGACCTGCTGCTGTTGTGAGTACAGGTGTGCAGCACTGCACCTGCTGCTGTTGTGAGTACAGGTGTGTAGCACTGCACCTGCTGCTTTTGTGATTACAGGTGTGCAGTACTGCACCTAGCTGTCGATTCCCCCAGTGCTGGGGGTCGGAGCCCAGGGCCTGCATATGTCATTGAGCTGCAGCCCTTGTTGATGCTTTAAATATTGCTTCTGTGTGCTCTTCCTTCTTGTTCTATCACTGTAATATACTTCAAAACTATACACTTCTTTTTCCATGTGATTATCTTTTAAATAAGAGAACAAGACTAAGAAATACATTTACATTATCTTTCACATTTACCTACATAATTACCTTTACCAGTGTTCTTAATTTTTTATGTGGATTCAAGTTACCATCTGGTGTTATTTCCTCGAACCTTTTAAGAAAATTCCATAGTTGTAAAACCTGTCTTTACCTAGGAACATCCTTAGCTTAGTGTCCTTTGGGAGCAGCTTTACTGGACACAGGATCTTTATTTGAGAGAGTGCCCTGCACCACCATTTTCTGGTCTGAAAAGCTAACTGCTCTTTGATCTGGGTCCCCTGGACTCCATGAGTCTGTCTTCTCTAGCTGTGCTTAAATTTTTTATTTGTATAAGATTGGCTATATTAGTACTTATCTTCTTGGATTTTATTGAATTTAGATATAGGTTAATACTTTTTATTAACTTGAGAAGGTTTTCTGACAATTTTTTTTCAGCCCCGATTAAAAAAAGCTTCGTTTCCTGGCTCCTAAATGTCCTTTCCAAGACTAGTTGTGCATGTTGTTTGTTTTTTATATGTGCATTCACACATGTGTGTGTGTGCCCACAAAGGCCCGGAAGGTGTCAGGTCCCCTAAATCTGCTGGCACAGTTGACTGAGCTACATGTCTTTGGAACTGAACTCAGGTTCTCTGCAGGAGTAGGGCATGCCCTTAACCACTGAGCCATCTCCACCCACCCCAACCCCAGTACCTTCTCATTTACCTTTCTCTTCGAAGTATATAATTCCTGTTGATGTATATTGTGCTTTCTGATTCTTCTGCATTCAAATGGGTGTCTGGATCCCTTTGGTGATGGTTTGGCTCTAGCTATTGTACTTCTCAGCTCCTGAAAATCCAACTGATTCCTTTTTTATAGTGTTGATGTCTTTATTGGTGTTCTCTATTAGATTAGGCATTGTTCGTGTGCTGTTTCCCCCCTTTTTTCTTTAACATAATCATAATTGGTGCTTTAAAGTGTATTTGCTAAACGCATGGGTCCTCCTCCAGAAGCTTCTGTTTTACGTTGGGATGAGCCACACTACTCGCTATAAAACAGGACACTTAAATAACAATTACTCCACATTCCCATCCTTCCTGTATGACTTTGTTTTTCTTCATTTGGTTATGCACAGTGATTCTCCAGTGAGCAGCCTCTGATATCTTTTGCCTTTTTTTATTTTTAATTCTTATTTTTAATCTGGTTACCCGTGAGCCAGTATAAGGGACGTAGCCTGAGACTGGTCAGACATTGGTCTTTCATGTCTAAATCCATTAGGGTTTTCAGTTTTGTTAGTAGATGCCTGTGGTTTGGAGAACACATTCATAATTTGCAACTTACCAGTCTTGCCTAGAGACAGTTTAGGGGGCACCTTCCCCGGTTTGCACTCAGCATGTTCATAGCTGAGCATTCTGCTCCTGCCTTGTGGACTATGAAGTTACAGAGGCCCATCCTTGCTTTGCTCAGGTTCTTGCTGCTATCCTTATAGCCAGTGTGGTTGGGTCAGACAGTATTGCAACCTCACTGCATATGGGCTCTTCCCATCTGTTCACCCCTGAAACTGCTGCTGCTTTCAGAGAAGTCTCTGGATGGTGAATTTTCCCACCATGTTTGAAATATAGTCCGTGTCTTAGGGTTTCTATTCCCGTGATGCAACAC